GTAGATGGGCCTTGTCTTCCACTGGGAATCCAGTGGGAAAAGGCTGCCTCTGGTGTCCCAAATGTCAGATTATATCCAGGTAGGAATGCTTGGCTCCTCCCCCTGGTTGGAGCATCTCTGAGTTCAATTCTTGTCAATAACAAATTTATTTAGATCTGGTACATGGCCTGGATGCAAAGGGGCAGTAAGGGCACTGCAAACTTTTCTCAAACCCTTTGGTATTTAGTGATTAAAAAAGGACTTAACTCAGCATCAGGTTTATTTGTGTTTGGGTTTATATTTCTTTCTGCTGTGTCTCTGTTTTTTTGCAATATTATCACTTGTAACACTGGGTAGGATGGGTGCAACTTGAAAGACTGCAGCCTATAGTGACTCCATGTCAGAGCTGCCTGATCCTGAAGGACTGCAGCCCACGGATGGGAGTCCCACTTGAGCATGGAGGAAAGTGAGGAGGAAGGAATGGAAAACTTTTTATGGACTGACTGCAGCCCTCATTCCCTGTCCCCGCACAATATTGTGGCAGAGGAGGTGGAGAAGCCAGGAAAGGAAGAGAGAATTTTGATTTGTGAAGATGAAGAGGAGAAGGGAAAGGGTTCTAGTTTTATGTTTGTTGCTCAGTATGCTATTCTATTATCAGTAGGCAATAAAATAAATTCATTTTTCTCAACTCAAGTCTGTTTTCTCCATGACAGTAGCACCTTCTATTCTCCCCTTGGCCTATTGGAGAACAAGAATAAAGGAGCAGCTAGGTGGGGGCATGGCACCCACCCAAGCTCAACAAACCCCAGCACATTCTCTGAACACAAAATAATTCCTGCATGAACAGAGCTGAATCTGCTTTGTTCATTTCTGTCACTAGCTTGGGCACAGAGGGACAGTTTTTCCTGTGCCTGGTGCTAGTGGTGCATTTTCCACCCATTCTTGTCAGGGTCTGTTTGGCCTCCTGTTCTCCCAAGAGGAAAGTATCTGCCAGAGGTGGAGACCAAATATCTGGGACCTCCCTCAGACAAGGGAGGAGCTAAAGCCCAAGATGTTTTGGACACAGCATTCCCCTGAGCAGAGTCATAAAAGGAGCTGGGGGCACTGCTAAAAACAAAGCAGTGCTCCAACACTCTTGGAAAGAGTGAGAATGAAGAGAAATGAAAGAAGTGATGAGCACCTGTTCCCTTTTGCTGGGCCAGGAATGGGAGTTACAGCCTGTTCAACCCATGTGTCCAAAGAAAGCCGAACATCAACATCTCCCCTTCCGCCTGAAGGAGCAACTACAGCCCTGTTACAAAATGAGTGCTTGAGATCACTTCAAAAATCACTGGCAGGGGCATCAGTAAAAAACAGATTTAATAATAAGCAAGAGCATGATGAAGTTTGCTGGCAAGATTCACTCTACTACTTTACTAGATAGTTAAAGCACACCAAGGGAGAAAAACAGGAAAAAAACCGCCATCAATCAAAACAGAAATGAACCAAGGACTATCTCTGTGTGTTTGTGTGTGTGTGAGTGTGTGTGAGTGCGTGTGTGTGTGTTTAGGTGTGTGCGACAAAATGGTAGAAAGGGCAAGGATAAAAAAGGATAAGAGAGGCCTAAAGGTTAACAACACTCAAAGGTACTTAACTTTCTTCTTAAATTTAACAATTTAGCAAAGGAATAACACTTAACAGCATTTAACTTAGCTTTTAGCTTATATTAAAGTTACTTACAGGCCTAACTTACATAAATATCTAAGATACTTCAACATCTAAGAGGAGAATTTCTCCCATATTTGTCAAAGCATATCAACATGTGTATACACGCAGACAGAGTCATTGCAAGGTACCTCTGAAAAATTCCCCTCAAAGACAGTGAAATATTTGCTTTGGATGTCTTTCATCTCATCACCAGGCCAAGAGTTTAGCCTCGAGGAGTGGGGGATCTGCCCAGGATCGAGTTTTTGGTCAGGGATTCTCTGAGCACAGCAAACTTGAGAGTTCCCAGCTATGTGAGGCCTCACTGGTCACGGCACACTAGGAGAGCTCAAAGGGTCTCATTTTGGACCTTCGTTTTTGTTTATAGGGCTGCAAGAATGTGGGCTTTAGTCATAACAATGTTTCACCCTGGCTGCACTTCAGTTCCACACTCCTCCTTTGAAAGTGTGAGAACCAGGATGTTCTGCCATTCAGGCAAAAGAAGTGATTTCTTAGGCTGTTCATACAAAAAGCCCAGGATCTCATTAGGCAGCAGCAGTTCCTGAGAGCAGACAGTAGCTCTGATAAGCTCAAGAGGAGCTGGGCCCAGGTGCTGCTCATCAAGGCCGAGGCCTAAGGAGCATTTCTCAGCTCACAGCCTGGAAAAGGGAGGGGGAAGCACCACCTCAACCCCACTACCAAACAAAGAGAGAGGCACCACCAGAGGCTACCAAAGAGACACAACACACTACTGCTTCCCTCTTTTAGTTCCATTATTCTTTGGAGCAGAGGTTGTGCAGTTCTCCAGAAAACATGGCAGGTTTCTCTCACGCTCTTCTTTTTGGAATTCCCAGTCTTCATCTCTCTGGTGTAAGGGGGATTCCTCTGTAGCAGTTCCTGCCTTCCACCTGTACAGCACAGACACAGCTGCACACACAGGGGCCCATCTGGGGGGTCAGGGGTTGTGTCTCAGTCTGGCCAAAACCCTGATGCCACCAACACTTGAGGAAGACCACAGTGTGTCCAGCATGGTGCAGCCCCAACCTCCTCTCAAAGGGAGCTGCCGGGCCCCAGCACTGCCTGCATCCAGACATGGACATTCCAAGTGTAAATCTTGCACAAGAGAAGACCAACCCTTTCCTCCTCCTGCAGGGCTCTGATTTTGTAGGCACTCAGGGTTTATGGAGCTCTCTCCACAAGACCATCGAATATCAGGAAAAATCCTTTTTCTTTAATACAGCAGCTCTGTCCCATCAGTGCAATGCTGTGCTGGTGGAGAGCATGGAGCAAAGTCACAGGTTTGACACAGATGCACTGGTGCACCATGTCAGGTTTATATAATTTTTTTTTGGAGAATTTAAAACAGTGCCAAAATTAGGTGAAAACAAGAAGGGAGGATGCTCTGAATTATTTTACTTGCAAAATTTCTGCATTTCCTCCCAGCTTGTAGTGAGCTGGGACTGTTAAGAAGAGCTAAGGCAGGAAGGGTGCAGGAGATCAGCATGCAGGTTCTTGAGATTAGGATTTCCTGACCTCATTATCTGGATGGAGATCTCAGCCAGATTCACTGATATCAGTTCAGTCTGCCACTCCTCAGCATCTGGGTTATCACCAGGGCACATTGGGAACATCAGCTGGGGCAGAGCTGCACTGTTCGGGCTGGTCAGCAGTAACACAGCCATAACTCAATTGAAAATGGTACATAAGCAGCCTGGAGATCTGGAAAAAGCAGGCTTTATCTAAGGCAAGTCATACAGGGATTCTACAACAAAAAAAATCTTATTTCCCAGGCTGTCACCTGGGACAGGGGCAATGGGAAATTTTCCTCTGTGGCAACTGTTTCTCAGAGCATTCTTCTCCAGTTGGTAAGGACATAAACATAACATTGTGCATTAGAGTTGATACACAGCAGTAATGGAATGCGCCAGAATTTAGGCAACCATTCACCTAACTAGCTAGCTAACTAAAGCTAATCATCTGGGATTCCCCATGTCATAAAGGGAGAAAGAAACAGATTCTGGAGAGGAAAGCAGCTCTGCCTGAACAAGCACAGATGGTACCAATTCATTATTTGTATGACGTGACTCAGATGCCAATACAGCTGTGTGTCTATCCAGACGCACAAAAACAGGAGTCTTGTGCCATTTGAGATGCACAAGGACATCCAAAATATGCTCATGGGTGGGAGATACAAAGTGTTGGATAACCCTTCCTCTTCTCAAAATATACTGGAGGGAGTGGATTTGAACCAGCAGGAAACACCTGCATGTCAAGCACCTGATCCGTATCTTCATGCTTGAAAATTCAGCATTGGAGACACTGATTTTATGGCATTATTTTTCTAAGGTGAAATATTCCCCACACAGAGTTGAGGCCAGGTCCCAGCCATGATATTGTGTTGCAATTTAATTTCCTTAATTAAAATGTTCATTTAATATCCCTGTACAAGATCATTCCCAGCACAGACAGTTCATATTCACATTACTGTTTTCATAGAAATAACTTCCATACACCTCCCGAACATATGGGAAAAGGGAAGGGAAGGGAAGGGAAGGGGAGGGGAGGGAAGGGGAGGGAAGGGGAGGGAAGGGGAGAGGAGGGGAGGGAAGGGGGAGGGAAGGGAAGGGAGGGAAGGGAGGGAGGGAAGGGAGGGAGGGAGGAAGGAAGGAAGGAAGGAAGGAAGGAAGGAAGGAAGGAAGGAAGGAAGGAAGGAAGGAAGGAAATTTCCTCTCCTATACCATGTTTTTCTTCTATCATCAAAACCGTAGAGGAAACCCACACCAAAGCATAACTCAGACAATAGGAATATCAGGAAATTAAAATTCCCTCAAGCCAATGCTTTGCCCTCCATCAATATAAAAAAAAAATAACAAAATAAAGAATAGTTTTGAATGAATACATCCAAAACAGAATTCTTTATTGGAGGTTACCAAGAGACAGAAAAACCCAGATCCTGAAGCCTGACACTGATCAAACAGGGATCAGTATCAAAATCAAAACACCACAGAAAAACATCTCCACCACAGAAAAACATCTCCACCACAGAAAAACATCTCTGCTCTTTGTGACACACAGCACAGCCCCCACAAACCAACATTCAAATAGTCAAGAGTGACACTGGCCCCAGGTAAGAGGATACCCAGCACATTTACATCCCTGCACCTGCCCTGTGCCCACAGCAGCCACACCAAAATCCCCCCCAGCAGCAGCTGCAGCAGCAGCTCCATAAAGCTCCTGTTGCCATCCCTGACACTCCACCAAGAGCAGCCACTGACCTGCCTCAGGCTCTGCTGCCACAGCCCCCTTGGCCAGCACAGCTCTGCTCCCCGGCTCACACCATGGAAGCTTGTCACCCTTCACGGCAACCCAAGGTTACTTCATATGGGGCCATGGCTTTGGCCATCACCACCCTGGAGGCATTTCCTGGCATGTGGATAAATGCCTTCCTCGTTTGTGTGCTTTGTATTGCCTGGGTCAAAAAGAAAACCCTGAACTCTAATGAGAAGATCTTGCTGCTGCTGGGATGCTCCAGGTTTTGGTATTTGTGCTTCTCATGGGTATATGGCTCCCTTTCAATAACTTATCCCAATTACATTTTTGTTCAACCCACATTTCAACTAATTGTACTTTTTCAAAGCTTTTCTAATTGTTCCAACTTGTGGGTTTCTGCCTGTCTTTGTGTTTTTTATTGTATAAAAATTTCCACTTTCAGGAACAGCTTCTTCATCTACCTGAAAGTAAAAACAGACAGGATTGTGCCTTGGCTTTTGTTGGCATCTTTGCTTTCAGCCTTGGCTATCGGCATAATTGCCTATGACATCGCTGTTACAGACTCAGTATCAACCACAATTCCTCTGGGCAAGGAAATTTTTCAAAAGTTAGTGACAAAATGGGTGAAAATTTTTTCCAGATATATTTTATCTATGGCTTGGGATTTGTCACATCTTTCACTGTAGTCATCTCTTCTGCCCTTCTCCTTCTCTTTTCTCTCTGGAGACACAAATGCAAGATGCAGAAAAACTCCATGAACAGCCTCAGCATGGATGCCCACATCAAAGCCATGAAATCTATTCTCTCCTTTTTTATAATGTATAGTATTAACTTTATATTTTTGATTCTGTCACTAATTCCTTCAACAAAGGAAGAAAAATATGTAGCACTTCTTAGTTTAATATTTCTGTACGCTTTTCCAGGTGTTCATTCCCTTATTGTGATTTTCAGCAATCCCAAACTGGAAAAGACACTGATAAGGATTATATCCTGTGTCTAGTGCCAGGATTGCATGAAGTAGGAAGTGTAATAAAAGCTTGAGCCCACACAAAATCTTGATATTTCATTATAAGACAGAAGTCAATTTATCTCTAGGGCAGCTCTCTGGGCAGTGGAGGTGATACAGATGTTCTTTCTTTAGCACTGAAGTTAAGAATAAATATTTCAAATTCTTTGAGTCAAATAAGTATGAATTAGATTATTGCTAGTACTTCATTTTGGTAATTCTTTGAGTTCAATTCTTGTCAATAACAAATTCATTTAGATCTGGTATGTGGGCTGGTTACAAAGGGGCAATAATTGTATTGCAAATCTTCCTCAACCACTTTGGCAATTGCTGATTGAAAAATGTCTGTACTCAGCATCAGGTTTATTTGTGTTTGGGTTTATATTTCTTTCTGCTGTGTCTCTGTTTTTTGCAATATTATGACTTGTAACACTGGGTGGGGTGGCTGTATCTTGAAGAACTTGCAGTCTGAGGAGCGCCCATATTGGAGACATCTGATCCTGAAGGACTGCAGACCTCAGATGGGGTCCCCACTCTAGCAGGGAAGACAGAGTGAAGAGGAAGGGGTGGAAGAGAAACCTTTTTATGGACTGACTGCAACGCCTATTCAATGTCACCCTGCACCATGTCGGGGAGGAGGTGGAGAAGCTGGGAATGAAAGAGTGAATTTTGAGCTGTGATGAAGAAGGGTGGAAGGACAGTTCTCTAGTTTTGTGCTTACTCCTCACCATCCTACTCTATATTCAAACAGCAATAAATTATGTTAATATTTTGAAATTTGAGTCTGTTTTCTCCATGACAGTAACTGGTGAGTGATCTCCCCATCTTTATCTCAACCCATGAGCTTTTCATCTTCTATTTTCCCTCTTGAACTGTTGCAGAGCAAGAGTGAAAAAGAGGCCAGATGGAGGGTCTGGTGGGTGTCCAAGTTTAACAATCCACAGCAGGTCATGTAAAATTAAATAATTCCAACATCAACAGAACAGAATCTAACTGTTAATTTCTTTCACCAGCTCTGGCTCAGAGGGACAATTTACTGCATACTCAGTGCCAGGTGTGTATTTTTCATATTATCACCTTCAAAAAGATTTGGCTCCTGTTCATGAAATGAGAGAAACAACATTTTAAACCACAGTAACATCTTAATCACAACAATATTTCCTTTTCCCAAGACCTCACAGTCTCCACAGAGGGTGGCAGATACAAAGTCTTGGTGAATCTCTCCCCTTCTCCAATGACACTGGAGGGGATGGCTTTGAACTAAAAGCAGACCCTGGGTTTTAAAGACCAAATCCACACATTCCATGCATTGAAAATCTGGTATTTGAGATACTGATTTTATATTGTTTTGTTTTCAAAAGGCCAGATTACCCATGCAGAGCTGAGCCCAAAATTCAGCCATGCGTGGTCCTGCACAGTCCCAGCACAGACAGTTCAACTATATACAAGTTGTAATAGAAATAACTTCTATTTACAAAGACATGGAGAGGAGAAGAAAGAAGCAATCAAGCAAGCAAATAAACAAGGAAAAAAACCCCAACAACCCCACAGAGTGTTTTCTATTAATTCAGAAAAAGAGGAGGAAACTCACATCAAAGCCTTAAGCAGAGAACAGGCATTATCAGGAAATCAAAAATTCCCTCAAGGCATATAGTCTGCCCATCATAAATGTAAAAAAAAATACAAAATAAATAACATTTTCAAATGAATGCAATCAAAAATAAAATTGGACATAGTAGGTGACAAAGGAATAGAAGAACTCAGATCCTCAAGCCTGACACTGATCAAACAGGGATCAGTCTCAAAATGAAAACACCGCAGAAAAACATCTCTGCTCTTTGTGCCACCCAGCACAGCCCCCCCAAACCAACATTCAAATAGTCAAGAGTGGCTCCGGGTAAGGGGATACCCAGCACATTTACATCCCTGCACCTGCCCTGTGCCCACAGCAGCCGCACCAAAATCCCCCCCAGCAGCAGCTGCAGCAGCAGCTCTATAAAGCTCCTGTTGCCATCCCTGACACTCCACCAAGAGCAGCCACTGACCTGCCTCAGGCTCTGCTGCCACAGCCCCCTTGGCCAGCACAGCTCTGCTCCCCGGCTCACACCATGGAATCTTGTCACCCTCGACAGCAATCCAATGTCACTTCATATGGGGTCTTGAATGTGTCCATCATCACCTTGGAGGCATTTGCTGGCATGTGGATAAATGCTTTCATCGTTTGTGTGCTTTGCATTGCCTGTGTCAAAAAGAAAACTTTGAACTCTAATGAGAAGATCTTGCTGCTGCTGGGATGCTCCAGGTTTTGGTATTTGTGCATTGCCTGGATATATAAATTTCTTTCCTTTATTTATCCCAATTACCTTTATGTTCAAACCATACTTCAACTAGCTGTATTTTTTCAAGCCTTTTTTAATCATTGCAACTTGTGGTTTTCAGCCTCTCTTTGTGGTTTTTATTGTATAAAAATTGCCACTTTCAGGAACAGGTTCTTCATCTACCTGAAATTAAAAATTGACAGGATGGTGCCCTGGCTCTTGTTCGGATCAGGGATTTTAGCTTTGGCTGTCGGCATTGTTGCCTATGATGTCGCTGATACACCGCACTGCAACAGCAATTCCACAAGACAAGGAAACTTTGGGACAGCAAATATCAAAATGGATAAACATTTTTTCCCTTCTTTTTTTCTCGCTGGCTTTGAATATGCTGCTTCATTCCTGGCAGTCATCTTTTCTGCTGTTTTCCTTCTCTTTTCTCTCTGGAGACACAAGCGCACGATGCAGACCAACTCCATGAAGGACCTCAGCATGGATGCCCACATCAGAGCCATGAAATCTATTTTCTCCTTCTTAGTGGTGTACAGCATCAACTTTGTATGTTTGGTCTTAAATATGGTTTATGTCACAAAGAAGTTAAATCATATGACATTTCTCATTTTAGTATTTCAGTACATTTTTCCGGGTCTTCACTCCCTTATTCTGGTTTTCAGCAACCCCAAATTAGAAAAGGCACTGCTAAAGATTCTTCCCTTAGAAATAAGTGTAAAACGCAAGGTTCGCATGAGTTAGGAACTATAATAAAATCTGGAGCTCATGCAAAATGGTAATACTACATTATAGAAAACAAGTAGTTTAATCTCTAGTGCAACTTTCCAAGCATTGTACATGATACAAATGTTCTCATCACTGATATTAAAAATATATAATTCAAATACTATGAACTAAATTAATGTGACTTACACCATATTTTTTCAATTATAATTTCATGTAGATAATTATTTGAGTTTAATTATTGTCAGTAACAAAGTTATTTATATCTGGTACAGGGGCTGGCCGTAAAAGGGTAGTTAAAATACTGCAAACTGGCCACCAAATGCTCTGGCATTTTCTGATGGAAACAACTGAAATCAACTGCAGGGTTTCTCTGTATTTTGGTTTACCTTTCCTTCTGTGTGATATATTATGGGCTGTATGAGTGCCTGGCAGTGGCTGATAGCTGAGTGTGAACACGCTGAGCCCTGTCACTCCCCAGAGGTGGTCACTGAGCCACAAAGAGCGAGGCAGGAACGGCCCCGGGGAGCTCAGGGGCTGCAGAGCCCCCTGCCCACTGCAGCCCTGCGTGTCCTCTGTGCCCCACTGCCTGCAAGGACAGGATTGCCTGCTCTGTGGGACTGCTCTCCTGGCCTGCTCTCACCTGGAGATGAGCTTGGCTTTTCCCACTGCACTCTGGCTCAGTGAAACACCCAAGTTTTGTTCTGGATCAGGGAAACAGCATGAAAAGGGAGTGGAGGAGACAACTCACTGTGAACTGACTGCAATTTCATTTTCCTTCCCCCTGTGCTGCTGTGGAGGAGGAGGTGGAGGAGCTGGAGATGAAGGAGGGAAGTTGAGCTTCAGATGAAAGCGTGGAGGCGGCGGGTTCTAGTTTGTGTTTATTTCTCATCATCCTATTGTACTTTTAGTAGGTAAATAAATTCATTTTGTGCACATCAAGTCTGTTTCATCTGTGACAGTAACTGGTTAGTGATTTCACTGTATTTTTCTCGATCCATCAGCTTTCCATCCTATTTTCCACCCCATTTATGGGTGACAGTGAAGGAACAGCTGGGTGGGCATCTAGCTGCTCCTGAGGTCAACCCACCACAGCAGGTGAAACATGCAGAATGGAGCAGAACCTGAACTGGTCACTTCTACCAGCAGCTGAGGTCCAAAGGCAGATTGTAAGCATCTCTTCTGGACACATCCCCCCTGGGATAGACCTTGAAAGGACAAAAAGCCACACATCCCTTCTTTCCCTGCTGCTCTTCATGATCTTCATCCTTTAACATGACAATCCCAACCACTTTCGCAGGAAAGCCCTGGAAGATCCATCTCATTCCCTACATCTAGTGCAACATCCATCCCTCCCAGTCTCACATCCCACAAGGCTCAGCAGGCAAAATCCAGCACCTTGCAAAAATCACCACATAAAACACCACAGTCCCAGTGAATCACACTGCAGATCCCTCCTTCCATCCCCATGAAAATGTGACAGCCAGCACAGAATCCCACTCCTGTGCACCAGCCCCACTCAGCTGGCACTGCAGGGGACAGGGTGTCCATCAGCACAGTCACCCTGCACAGCCCATGGGGACAGATGCAGGATGTGCCCAGCGTGGAGAAGCTGACACATGAAAGGTGTCAGAAGTCAATGGGAAGGGCTGCCCCATGCTGGCACAGTATGGAAAACCGCTCTGAGTCACATTCCAAGTCTTTATGACTGAGAAGTGAAAGTGTTAAAAGTGCTTTTGCCATGGAAAGCATTGATGAGCAGAAGCAGAACTCAATAACACTTGCACACCATTTCTATTTGCAGAAACATGAATATGGCTGGGGACAATGCTAAAAAAAGGCAGTGCTCCAGTACCCTTGGTAGTCACAGCTGTCTGAAAGCAGCAAGGAAGGAGCATATTTTCCCTTTTGCTGGGCCAGGAATGGAAGATTCAGGCTGTTGGACCCATGTGTCAAGTGAAAGCTTAGCATTAATATCTCAGCTTTATCCAGAAGAAGCAAGTACATCTCACTTCCAAGAAATGAGACAGGCATCACCAGAGGCTGCAAGTCCATGTAGAGCCTCCTGGTTGACTCAGTGGCAGAAGTAAAGATGCAAAGGCCACAGACATCAGCAGAGCAAGCAGAACCACAATCCAAGATGCTTTTGTGAATCAGGTAGGATGAAGACTATTTTTTCCCTGGCAATATGTGTAACTGCCATTGCAGGAACTCTAAACATTGCAGTGATTTACAGTATTGGTATATTTAAACATATCCTTCAATTGTTTTTATTTTAGAGATCAGATACATAGAAACACACAGAGAAGCTGAAGCTCTTCTAGCTCTTAAGGAGATTATTTACAGTGTGTCTCTAAGGATGCACTCTTGTAGCCTTCTGCTTATTCTGTTCACACAAATATCACACTACAGATCCACCTCAAGTCTGCCAGTGCCTTTGCTCTGCATTGCAAGTGCTCAGAGGCACTAAACAGGCACCAAACACTATTGCTTCCCCCTTTTCCCCCCATTTTTCTTTAGAATAGAGGCCGTACCCTTCTCCCAAAAACATGGTGGATTTTTCTTAAGCTCTTCTTTCTTGAGTTCCCAGTCTTCATCTCTCTGGTCTAAGGGGATTTTTCTCAGTGCAGCTTTCCTGCGGTAGTTCCTGCTCTCCACCTCTGCTCTGGGAGAGAAACCAAGAGTGAGCACAGCACACACATCTCTCTTCACAGGTGCCCATCTGGGAGGTCAGGGGTTGTGTCTCAGTCTGGTCAAAACCCTGATGCCACCAACACTTGAGAAAGACCACAGTGTGTCCAGCATGGTGCAGCCCCAACCTCCCCTCACAGGGAGCCCCTGGGCCCCAGCACAGCCTGCATCCAGACATGGACATTCCAAGTGTAAATCTTGCCAAGGAGAAGACAAACCCTTTCCTCCTCCTGCAGGGCTCTGATTTTGTAGGCACTCAGGATTCAGGAATCTCTGTCAGAAAAACCATCCAATATCAGGAAAAATCCTTCTTTTCTGTAAGAGAGCATTTCTGTCACATGAGAGCAATGCTGCTCTAGCTGCCAGCACAGAGCAAAGTCAGCAGCTCCATATTGATGGATCTCATCACGTGGGCTTTCCATGTCATAAAATCACAGAATGGTTTCAGCTCGAAGGGACATTATCTCATTCCATACCTTCTGCCATGGACAGGGACACCTTCCCCTAGACCAGGCTGCTCAAAGCCCCACCCAGCTTGGCCTTGGACACTTCCAGGGATGGGGCAGCTGCAGCTTCTCTGGGCAACCTGTGCCAGGGCCTCACCACCCTCACAATCAAGAATTGATTCCTAATATATCTAATCCTACCTACTCAGGCCATTCCCCCTTGTCCATGCCCTTGTCCAAAGTTCCTCTCCAGCTCTCTTGTAGGCTCCCTTCAGGTACTGAAAGGTGCTCTAAGGTCTCCACAGAGCCTATGTTTGACAGTGGTGGTTGATGCCCCATGGCTGCTGGTGTTTAAGAGGCATTTGGGCCTTCTTAAGATGCTTTAAATTCTGGTCAGTCCTGAAGTGGTCAGGAGATAGGACTAGCAGTAGGTCCCTTCCAACTGAACTACCCTATTGTCTTCTATTCAGTATCTGCTCCCAAGGGCAAGAAACCTTTTTCTATAAAACTTTTAAATATAAAGATTCCTTTATTTATTTACACATGAGTATATATATGCCCTGCTCTTAGACAGCAGGACCCTTGGGTACAATTTCAACAGCTGGCACTTTGCAGAGAGCCTGGGCAGCAGACACGGGCTGAGGGTCTCTGTGCCCTTTTTGGCAGGTCTCATAGCATCAAGAGTAAAGACTTTTTCATGTAAACCAAATCTAATGTAAAATACGCATTTGCTATTCAGAAGCAGCTGTTTTGAAAGCAGCTGTTTCCTAACTTTTTCATGTTCATGCAAACCTCAGTGAGTGGTACTGATACTCAGCAGTGGAATATACCTAATATTTGCAAGTTAATAATATTTACATGTTGATACATGTCATATTTCCATGTGGGTGCAGTCCTCAGCATAATTCAGTGGCCCGGCCCAGGAAGGCAGCTGGCAACACCTGGGGACCAACAAACAGCATGCAAGGGTCACATGGTGCTAGAGGGGGCTGAATTTGGATTAATGAAGGATTTGGATGCTCATAGGCCTATGTAGATATGTACATCAGCCCTACAGTTGGTGTAGACCCTCAGATGGTTTTAAAAATTTCCTTTTTTCTCTTTTTGCATGACAGGCAAATATCCAAATATGACAGGGATAGTGTGTAACAAAATGTTCCTCATATTTATATCCCACACACACCACTGTGTGGAAAGCAGAGATGCTCTGTGCTGCACAGTATTTTGTGCAATCACACTCTTAATTCTCTGTCTCAGACATACACAGTGCTGCCCTGTACTCTTTGGCACTGCCTGACCCTGGACATCATCTCTGGGACCTTCTGCACATCTGAAGGAGCAGATGGTAATCGAAATTACACTACAAGTGACAACCGTTCCTCCTAGTTTACTCCAAGTTGGCTGATGTGATGCCAGTGTGAGGGTGAAAGCATCCACTGTGGTCATAAATGATAGTGGCTGGTTTTAAAAAGTATTCCTGAGCCTCAGTGATAAACTCGTGGCTGCCCACAGGCTGGGTTATGGCCATGAGGTGATTGCACAGGTTCTGTGTGTGTTCTAGACTGGGCATTTGAAGCATCTTCCAGTCATTAGATATCCCAGCCATGCTGAGCCATGCAGCTCTGGGATGAGTCAGGCCAGCATGTGATTCTGAAAGACAAGTTTTCCACCTTAAATCATGAGTTTTCCACTTTAAATCTGAGTCATTCACCTCAGAAAGCCCTTCATCAGCTGACCTGAGTCACCATGGGCTGTTGCTAAGGTGTCTCAGATGATGATGTCAATCATTCTGGCAATCAACCTGTCAATCATTCTCCCAGGCACCTCTGCCTGCCACAGGCATTGCCCTTTGGCATCATCCAGCCAATTCCCCTGCCCCCTGCTCCTATGGCTCTGGAGCACATCCAGGGCACAGGAAATTCTACAGACTTGGCAGGAATTACTGGTGAGATTAGTGCAAAACAGACAGCATTGAATAGGCAAGTAATTGCTATAAATTTTTCATCCAAGGGACAGAAGTCTGCAGACTTTCACCTTCTGGGTTAGATAATATTTACCTGTTCTGGTGTAGAAACTAAGTATGCCAAGAGCTGAGAAGAGTATAAAGAGAATCTCCACTGGAAGACAATGCCCCATTCTCAGAGGTCTGGCAGACCTGAGCTTTACTACCTAGACACTGGATAGGTAGTAAAAAAATCTAATTTGCAAAGCTTCATTATCAGCTGCTGGCTGCCTAAATGCCTTTAAACTGGGGGTCTGAAAGTAAGAAGAGCTGATACATCTGTGTAGAAGGAAAGTGGTGAATAGTGGGAGATTACGGCGTGTCAGTTCCAAACCCAAAAAGACTTTAGCTCTAAGATGGTCTGGATGCGCTTTTCTGGCAGTGTTCAGCTCTATCACACTGGAAAAGGCTTTGAGCAATCTGATTTAGTGGAAGGGGTCCCTGTCCATGGTAAGGGGTTGGAATGAGATGAGCTTTAAGGCCCCTTCCCACCATTCTATGATTCTGTGTTGGGTGGGCAGGTAAAATGCAAAGCTATTAGCAGCTTCCAACAGCCAGAGTTTGGAAACCAGAGCTTGGAAACCAGAGCTTGTGCCTCCACTACAAAGTTTTCTGGGCTCTGTACAGGGAAATTTTGCCCAGTTTGGCTGTCTTTTCTTCTGGAAGGACTCTGATGTGTCAAGATAAAAGGTGGGCATGGGGCATTTCAGCAGGAACCAAGCTGAAGAAGTACAGCAGAAGGACAGGAGTACCTACAGAAAAGTTTATATGGATTAATGAAAAGTGGCATTTGTAAGGCACTGGCCTCCTCAGATATCTGCCTGTCACCATGCCTGATTTCAAACTTGGCAGCTTATGTGCTGCACTGGCAAGCTGGGGACTTTGAGTTGGACAAATGCCTATTAAAAAAACAACAAACAGGATATATATGGTATCAAAGCAGTCTTGAGAATGTGGAAGTGGTGCCAGTGAAGGATGATGATGGGACTGTAATGTCACAGAAAAACCCAGGGAGAAAACACTTCTGGGAGCTCTCAGCATTCCAGGGTCTGGCACATGTATCTTTTGTGGGCAATGTGTTGAAGTAAAGTAGTGTTGGGACTTGGCTTGCACTGAACAAGTTGGTTGGCCTCTGGTGATCTGTCCCACTCCTTTACAGAGATGAAGGATGGGACACAACTCAAACCTCTGCAGTAAAGCATCCTGATCCAGGGAAACACCTTTGCAAGGATGAAAATACCTGTGAGCCAAGCCAACAGCTGAAAAACAGGAATGGTAATTGGGAACCATTAAGAAACATATATATTATGGCATGTGCTGCCACAGTGCTAACTGTAAGCAATTAAGACAACAAAGATTTTCCCAAAATTTGGAAGTACTATATGACCATCCTATTAAGTGGTCTAATTTACAGTCATTATGTAAAAACTAGGGTGGCTTTTTATCTTTACTATAAGAAAGCCAAATGATATACATATAAATATATATACACACACAGACACACACACAGCTGCTGAGGGCTGTTCCTAAAGAACTCAACCCGTGTATTTGCTATTCACCACTGTAAGGGGTTAACACTTGTCAGTTGTTGCTTTTATTTCAGTTGCTTAATAACGGCTCTGCAACATCCTTACAAAAACAATGATGTCATGAAGTGGTAACGATTTTGAAAACATACCAAGGGAAACCGCAGGAGGCAGGGGAATAAAAGAATGTCTTCTCACGGCTTCCCCCTGACAGGGCCGTGTTTGCTCGTCCACTACAGCTTGTGTGTCAGGGCTTTAGCAGGCTTTGGGTGGGAAGATAAGTAACACACTTTGTGTGTTCTGGTCCTCTGTGGAGCAGTGAAGTTAATTTTCACTGCAGCCGCAGCGAGACCTGCCACCACTACTCACTTTTCCAAGAATCTGCAGCACTCCTGGTGTCCGTAGATCTCCGCGAGCCTCCGGGGAGTGTCTCCGAAGAGGTCGGCGGCGTCCATAGCAGCGTGCAGAGAGTGAAGGGCGCGGAGCACCCGCAGCTTGCCCGCCTCGGCAGCGAAGTGCGCCGCGGTCCAGCCCACATCGCTCCGCAGGCAGGGCCGGGCACCGTGACCCACCAGGAGCCTGACCAGGTCCGACCGCCCTGGCAACGCGCAGCAAAGCCAGCAGAGAAGATGCTTTACAATTTATACCTTCGGGATGCGCAAGGGGGTCACACACAGCTGGTCATAATTCCCTCAGACACGGATTTCACCCACCTGACTATCTGGTTTATCATATCAGGGATACTGAACTGAAAATGCTGGTTATTTTCTCTCAAACTCGACAGTTTCCAGGATAAACTTACAACAAAAACAACAACCAAATCAAAAAGCTTTCTAATTTCTGAACAGCACATCTCAATTAGTCATTGACCGATTGGCTATTTCATTGCTTCATTTTTGTTTTTAGTTCAATTGCAAAATAAAATTTAAACATTGAGAATGGGAAAATCTGTGAACAGCTTTACTAAAACAAAGATTTTTGGATAGCAGGTGGAGAAACTACTGCTTTTTCATTCACTTTCACATTTTTCTAACTAGTGGAATTGCTTAAAGAAGCAAAAAAAAAAGTTATTTCTACACCACTTCACACTGCCTTGACTGAGCTAGACTACTCCAAATCACATCCAGGCTCTGTCAGCTTCTCACCATCATTTTTGTTAGGTAGCTCAGTCCCCTTTGCTAATGTTCAAATGCCTAATAATCCATTTGATGCTGGATACATGGTCTTAAATGTAAAACAGGAAATCACACACTTGATTTCTGAGCAAAGACAGATGTGATGACATGGGATCCCAACAAATACTGTAGCACAGAGAAGTAGAGGTCCAGTTTCCCATTTTACACTGTGTGGAATTAGACATTATTTATTGTTGCATCATCTATTTTTTGGGCTGCAAAGGGATATTTGAGTTTACCAGATACTTCTGAAGGTGAAGGACCAAATGGGAGCTGCAAGCAGCTCTGGTCCTGCATTGTTCATTCAAAAGGTGGGGATATAAAGAGCAATGTAAAAATGCAGTTATTATTTTGTCCTAATTGGTTTGATAAATACCTGGTGTAAATACAGTGGGTTTGACCTCCTGCTCTTTCCCACAGGTGTACATGAGAAATAAACTCAGGGAGTCATCTCTTAGAAAAGGAAAAAGCAGCCATTCCCTATGTGTACATCATGTAAATTGCAAATTGTTGTGTGATGGAAGCAAAAAAGCTAAAAATCAGTTTAACAGCAGTCTCATAAACTATTTTGTAGGTAAAGTTCCCATTTAAATGCATATTTAACTTTTTTTTTTTGCACATTAGGGACAAAATTACCAAACACAAGCTGAGATTTTGCCAGCCTAGATACAATCACAGGTGATCAGCATCACCTTTTATGGTGTCCATTCACAGAGGCAGCAGAGCTGGGGGTGCCCTTACCTTTGGCAGCAGCCCAGTGCAGGGGGGTCCTGCCATGCCAGTCAACATCCTTCTGGTTTGGGTCACAGCGCCCTGCCTTCAAAATCTTCTTCACCAGGTCATAGTCACCCACAGCCACGGCTTCATGGAGCTCTGTCATGCTGCAGGAAGGCACGTGGTGACAGAGAGATGCTCATTCAGTGGTGTGCACTGATGGTCAGCTCCTCTCAGCAGCTTCAGTAGGTTGAGCAGCACCTGGATTAAAAATGAGACAGGCACCGTGAGAAACGAACATTTGTCAAAAAGTAAGGAAAAAGGAATGATAGGGGAAAAAACAATTATCTTCAAACAAGTGATCACAGACTGATGGTGACTTTTGGTCTGTAGAGACAGAAATCTGCAGCAAAGTGCAGTCCTTTATATAAAGGACTTGTAGCTAAAGCCACATTGAACATTTGCCACAGGTTTGTTGTGCTCACTAACCATGGGAACTGGCTCCTCCCTTGCCAGTGCTGCAGCATTACTGGTAGCATTTTATTGCAGAGAAAATCAGAAACAGAAACATCTATGCAAGCATCCTCTGATGTTGTTTGGTGCAAATGATAAAAAGGGATAATAATAATTAAGCATATAAAAAGAGATGATAGGGCAAAGATGAATGGTCTTAAACTAAGATTCATAGCCTGTTTCACACCTGGGTGGTTGGACTGTGTAGATAAGATCCAAAAGAAAGACCCATATTTGTCTTCTACTGAGTTTGACTCCTGCACATCTAGGAAATCTGAATATATAAAGAAGAAAATTAAATTTTGGAGCCCCTAGTGGGCCAAAGAAGTATCATGGGATCACTGTTACTCTAACTACCTGTGTACTGCTTCCTCGTCCTCATTGTCTCTCACTTACCTTGAAGAACCTGTTCCTTTAGATTAAAAAAAGATCTTCTGACTTGTTCTCCAACACCTTTCAACAGCATCAAATCTATCCAGCCCATCACTGAAGTCTGGACAAGAGTACAGGAAAAAAAAATCTTGGACCTTTTCATACAGCTTTTGTATTCTTTTCCAGCCTCAGCTCATACCCACACCCAGAGGGAAGGGAAGCTGCTGATCCCAAGGCAGGAGCTCAGCAGCTCTCCAAGGGGACAGTCTAGAGGGGCAACTTCACGAGCAATTTAAGCCAAGTCCAATTCTACCTTCCCTCCTCCCCTGCTGCCTCCCTTTGCTAGCCTTGCAGCTCATAGGGGCATTTCACAGCTGCTGATCTCTCACAAAATTAATCTTTTATTGCTGGTGCTAAATTAATCTTTTATTACTTCAGGTGAACTCCCTGCATTCAGCATTACTGAGGGGGCAAACGCCAGGACTATGCAAAGCAGGGTGAGTACAGATCTGCCCCATAGGTAGGAACCTGTGCTAAACTCCTCTGCAGCCATCCCAGATGTCACACCCAAAGTGGGATCTGCCTCCCTAGACTGTGGACACAGGAAAAGATTTGTATTTTTACAGCACAACCTTGAGCCAAAGCGCCGTCCCCCGCTGCTCACCCGGCCACAGGCATTGCAGCTCCTCCACGGGGTGTTGCAACCCATCCGGGGGAATTTTCCCTCGGGGTTCCTGCTGCTTGAGCCAGCCCCAGCCGGGAGATCCAGAGCTCACACACAAGGAGCCCGCACATGACTCTGTCGCTGCCCTACCGGGGCACGGCCCAGCACCTCGCCCCGGGCTCCACTGGGACGCGCAGGCAGTGCTGGGCATGCCTCCATGGCAGAACTTTGTTTTCCAGGCCCAGGGAGGATTTCTCTCAGAAAGATCGTCTCAGCTGGAAACTAAGGCAAAGTTTGGTCCCTCCCCTTCGGGGAGAGCCCGGCAGTCGCTGTGCCTGCGACAGAGGCGGCGTCCTGAGGGAGCAGCCGCTGCTCGCCCGGCTCCGGAGGGCCGTGGGTGGCCAGAGGGGACATCTCGCTCCTTGGGACGGCGGGACGGGAGCGGGGGCGGCCGGGACACCGCACAGCAGGTACGTGAAGCCCCGCAAAGACCAAAAAGAGGATCTAGGGGGAGCACGGGAGGAGCAATGGTGACGTGAGGGGAATTTTAAGGAGTTAATTTCTGCGCAGCACCTCACGCAGCTTCATTGCTCGCACTCCCTGTGCCCAGCCCTCAAGGGATGGCGCTCCTCTGCTTCCTTCCAGCCCCTTATCCAGCCCCAAATCCCTGTGGAAGGGTGGGAATGACACCCGGGTAACGGGGTGACAGAGGACATGTCGCTTTGCCTATCCGTGTGTGGACAGCATTCAGGGAAATATAACCCGCCTCAAACACGGCTGTGTCCAGCGTGGGGATGGGACGCAGCAGTCCCAGGCTGCAGCAGGGGAAACTCCGACTAGATGGAAGAGGAAAATATAATTTACAGCGAGGGTAATTAAAGTGTGCTTCAGGTGTCCCGCACTGAGACATGCAGACCTGAGGCAGCCCCATGTGCGCCCTGCTTTGAGCAGGGGTTTGGATTAGGTGACTTCCAGCGTTCCTTCCCCACCAACATTCTTCGGGGAAGCTGAGAGGGCCAAGGTGTAGGAGGTTTGAGGGCTCTTCCAGGTTTGAGGTTTGAGGGCACAGCATTCCAAGGTGTAGGAGGTTTGAGGGCACAGCATTTACCTTCTCCAAGCCCAGCATCCCCATACATGCATGGGACCCTGTGCCCCAGCTGCTCTTGGAGATGGTGTGGAAAGAAGGTGGTTTTAGGACGTGGCTCCCCTCGTGTGTTTCAAGTCCAAGCTCAGGTACAAGGGACAAGTTCAGGACTGCCATGTCAGCCACACGGACCTGCTGGGTCAGCCTGGCTGCACTTTACCCTGTGACACAGCCATTCCAACCTCTCAGGAGCTGGTGGCTCCTCTGGGTAGGGATTGGGGTGGTGGTGCTGCCTGGGCTTGCACTCACCAACCCTGCTGACGGGTTCACAGCAGCCCAGAAACTGTGGTGATTTACTGCTGGGGACATGTGGGATCAAACCGTGGTGACACCCTGCTGGGGACACATGGGATCCCCTAATAGCAGCTCCAGAAGGAATGGGACATGCTCAGATCTCCATCTCTCATTAATAAGTACCCTCCCCTTTCTCTGCCTGCTGGGAACAAAACAGTTTTTGTCTTCAAAATCAGCTGATACGAGGGAGGAAGAGACTGCTGTGCTTGCAGAGAAGTGAGAGGGGGTAGTTCCCAGCAGGCAAGTTTCCTGCTACAAAGTCCTGCTGCAGGCCTAAAACAGCAAACAGTGGGTCAGAAAAGATGCTTCACTGCCTAAAATGGTGTATTTAAAAGCAGGGACAAGAACTGGGGCTGTCATGTAAATGTTGACATAACTCTTAAGATAATAATCCCCCAGATTCAGTGAATATTGAAATGTTTTGGCTTCTGGGATAGGGACTAAGGTGATCCCATGCCCTGGTGATGAGAAATGGCAGTCTTCAGGGTCAGATCTGTCAGGGGATGTATTTAAAACCTTATTCAGAGCTCAGAAAGGGGACAATGATGCTTCCATCTGCTATGGGGTTTCTTACTGGGGAGTGCTGCAGACATAAGCATGGGGAAGTGCCCTTCAGCAGGGCTGGGAGGCCCTGGCCTAGTCCAGGATATAGGACCATCACCCAAAAACTTGGGAATTGCCCAGTTCCACCTTTGTTTCTCAGTTTCCATTTCCCGTCTTGAGAGGGGGGATGTACCATCCTTCCTCAGCCCCAAGGCTCATGGTGATGTGCTGTCAGTGATTGACTGAGGTCACCACTAAGCCACACCAAAATGTCGATGGAAGCAGCCTTTAAAACATGCAGCATTCTTGTTTACTGGGAAAAAAATGGAGCTTAGATCAGTGAAAAGCCACACATTTGCATTTCAGTGACAGCCTCAGCTTTTTACACACTGCAGCACAAAAGGCCTCAGTGTGAAGGACTCCTTCCTCCAGCTCCCCCACATTCCTCAGCCTCAGCTTCTCTGCTTTGGCAGCCTTCAAATAGAGGGAAAGCCAAGGTCAGTTAAAAAAAAAAAAAAAAAAAAAAAAAAAAAAAAGGGAAAAAAAGAGAAGAGAAAAAACAAAAAGGGAAAAAAAAAACAGAGAAAAAAAATAACCCCCTCGAACCTAAAACCAAAGGCCCTGGTAAAACCTCCTTTCCTGCTGCCCACTATCCAAGTGAGAGCTCCTGCCTGGAAACTGCTCGCTATTTTCCAATGGCTTTTGCACCTCCCAGACCCCCCTGCAGCCCCATTCTCCCTTTCTGGAGAAGCTGGTACCCCTGCACCCCCCAGCTCCTGGGACAGGCACATATGGAGGTGGCATTTGCCAAGTTTTGTCAGGCATGGAGTGAGTTTGCCCCCTCACCAGCACCACCATCCTCTGTCCTGCAGCAACAACTTCCCACAAGACACATGGAGATGTTGAGGCACCTGAGGAACATCAAGCCCACTTGAGAAGGTACAGGGAAGAAGCACAGTGACACCCAGGAGCCCATCCTGTTACTCTCACATGCATAAGTTCTCCTGCTGCAAGTCCCCAGAGCACTGGAGGGGGGAGTTTGAAGGACCTGGCCCAAAAAAGGGCAATGTTGGATCATATCCTCATGCCAGTTTTCACAAGACCATGGAAACTGTGCCAAATTTACTGACATTGGATCAGCCTTGGAATTTAACAAAAGCCTGCATGTTTATCTAAGTGTTGGGAAAGGCTGGAGGAGCTGCTTCCTGTGCCCTTTCAATCCTCAGCTCCAGAACTGCAGTGGGAACCACCCAGCAGTGGCCACAGCATGTCAGCTCTGGAAAACAAACCCAAACCCTGGAACTAAAGGCAAAACCACCGTGGAACACAAGGAAGGAAAGAAGCCATTATTTCCCTGGTTGTCATCATCAGCAGGAATGTGGCTGTGCTGCTGGAACTTCCATTTTATCTGTTTATTGTACTTGAAGCGGACCCAGCTCTGGTCAGGGATGTGTGAGGATGCCAGCTGCTACAAACTGAGGAGCAGGACACTCATCTCAGGTCTCAGCTACTGTACAACCAGCACAGTTAAGAAATTCCAGACCTAAAGCACACAGACATATAAACACACAGCCTGATTTCTTAGAGAGCATAAGAATTTGATTTCCAGTACCATAGGAGGAGAGCAGGGGTGATGGATGCTGTTATCCCACATATTTCTAGGGAAATCAATTCCCACTGCTTAACAGTCTACAGGGTTATTTCTCTTCTGCTACAGATGCTGATGATAAAAAGTAGGTTTCATACAAAAGGAATGGGCTGATGATATAAACTGCAGATGCTGACAGGCTGGAGGTTTGACATTTCCTTTTCTACAGTTCCTCCAAGGGCTGGACACATGGGACAGAGCAGTTCAGCATCTCAGTAGTAAAATGCCCTGCACAGTAACTGTGCTGTTACTTAAATTCCTCCCAAAAGAGTAAAGCACAGCAGAAGCACTGTTTTAACCTGCACCTGAATAAGACACCTTCCAAATTTCCCCAAGAAATGATGGCACTGTTCTAGAGAAAAGGGAAGCTGGGAGCGTGTTTAAGTCAGGATTCATGTGTGAAACTTTTTTTCAGGTTGCATTTCTTAGAGCAAGATGCATGCTCTAAGAAAAAGGTTAAGATGTTGTTGAGGTTATGGTTACTGAAATAAATTCAGGTACAAACAGCAGTAGTAGGCAAGTGGTTTATCCACCCATTTAGTGTCCTTTTCTTAATATCTACTATTGCTTTATTAATTGTTCTGCTTAATACAGGTGGCTTATGAGCTTGGAAAGAAATGTAAACATTCTGTTTGCCTTATAAAAGGCTGACATAATATTTGGTGACAGACTGTGGTCATACAGTACCTCCAAAACATACCTCAGCTAAATACTTTTTATGTTCAAAAAAGCCACACTAAGGCATCCACATCCAGAGCTTTGAGAGTAGCTGCACTCCAGCTCTTTGGATTTGGGATGGACAGTCACAGCTCTGCTCCTAAACCTACTGCCAAATCCTTTCATAGCCCCAGGTAAGGGAAAGAGAGCATTCCTAGGATAAACATGTTACAACTCAGTAATAGCCTTCTAGCTATTAAAATAAAACCAGACTTACATAAGTTACATAAAAACTTAAATTAAAAAAAGTTCAGAAAGGTGGCAAACAGGGCTTACTGGACCATTTAAAAATCAGAATAAACTCAGAGAAACTATATCATAAAGCAGTCCCCACATTTCTTCACCAACTAAAAAACCCAACAGTTTTATTTTTATTTTTCTGCTTTTTTATCAAAAATGAACAAAGTTCCCAACAGCCCCTGGCTAATGTACTAAATGCAGAAGTTCCTCCAAATCTGCAGTTATGGTTACACCAGCTTTTGCTCCAACACCTCCCCCTTAGATCCTCATCCATAAATGATGCATAATGGTCATCAGGAACCCCACACAGCAAAGACACAACACAAAGCATCAAACTTCCCTTCACAACTTCACATGACAATAAAGTTTTTTGTTTTGTTTTTAATTCCGTTTTTGGCTAAAACTTTTAACAGTTCCAGAAACAGGGTATTTGGCCTTCTTGTTTACTGCTGGCCCTGAGAAATCCCCTCCTTATTCCTTGATATCAAAAGAAAACGCTTCCAGAAGTAACTGATTCCTGTGCATTCAACAGCCAAAGGAGGAACCAGGACAACCTCTTGGAAAAAGCAGTGAAGCAGCTGAACTCAGTCTTCAAACAGTCGCTCAGCTTGGCTTAAATCCCCTTCCAGCAGCTGCTGTTAAGCTGCCAAGCACTTAAGCCTGACCTAAATCCTCTCCTGCAATTGGGCAGAGACTTTTCCAAGCACTTTTGCTTTATGGGATGTAAGGATGATGGAGATGCACTTTTAAGGAAGAGGGAGCTGGGCACGATGATGAAGCTGAGATGTGTCCTGGGGTGATGCTGGTATCCCCATGTGTCTCTTGAGCCCAGAAATAAGTTCTGCACCTTTAGATCTGAGAGTGAAGTGAGGCAGAAGAAAAATCTGCCCTAAACCAGGACAGCTGCCAGGGACGATGATGGAGCTGGGCCACTGGATGTATTCTTGAAGCAGTGGATGTGTAAAGGTTGCTCCTCTGAATGGATGAATGGAAGCATCAGCTGTGAAAGGGAGCCAGGAGCAGGTCAGTACGACACTGGAAGCGCACAGTTTCCTTCTGGCTCCCTTTGCAGGCGTGTGAATATCCCGTGGTGGTGTTATCGGTGAGCGTGTCCTGTGAGGCAGGGCAGGCTTAGGAGGCCAGGTCGAAGTCGTCACGCTCCTGGTTGTAGTCGAGCACCTTCTGCCGCAGGCGCGACGCGTCCACCCAGGTGATGAAGTCCTCGACGGCGCGGGGCACGAGGAGCGCGGGGTCTGTCACCACCTCGGGCCCCACGCGGACGTGCCCCTGCTCCACGAAGGTGACGGCGTGCCGCAGGTTCTGCGCCATGCGCAGCTTCACCAGCAGGCACGGCAGGCGCCGGCGGCAGAAGGCGGAGGCCGAGAGGCTCTCGCACACGGCCAGCGACTGCCGGCTGTTCACCAGCCCCAGCCCGTACAGCTTCTCCAGCAGCGCGGCGGCGCAGCGGGCGCGGAAGGCGGCGCTGGCCGGGCCCAGGTCGCGGAGTCGCCGCGCCAGGGCGCGCACGGCGCGGGCCAGCGCCTTGTACTGCACGTAATCCTCCCGCCGGCCCACCCGGTACCGCCGCAGCGCCCGCACCTCCGCCAAGTTCCCGCCCGACGCCTCCCAGTTCACCAGGTCCAGCCGCCGCAGCAGCTTCTGCTCGTGGTACTTCAGTTTCCGCACCATCTTTGCGGGACCGGGATCCGCCGCGCCGCGCCTCAGAGGGACTGTTCCGGGGCGGAGCGGCCGCCGGCCCCGCGGCTTTTCCGGGGAGGAGCAGCCGTGACATGGCACTGGGAGCCCCGCCCCGGGCGGCGGGGTACCGGGAGAAGGATGGCTCCGTGTCTCCTTCCCCAAGGGATCACCGGCAGATAGAGCCCAACCCGGGATGCGGCTGCTTTCCCCCGCGCTCTGCGCATCGCCGGGGCCAGCCCGGCGCGGAGGGGTCACCCCAGGTACGGCCACAGCGCCCCGACACCCGCTCCGGCACGGGCAGCCCGACCTTGTCTCGCCTGGGGCCGAGCCTGGGATTCGTCATTCCTTCTGGAAGAATGGCAGCGGCGTTGTGTTTCTCTGTGACATCCCACTCCCCCTGATGCACAGGCCGGTTTTCCTCGAGGAGCAGCAGAATCCTCCCTCTGTGCGGTTCGTAGCACCGCACATCTCCCGAGTGCCGCCGCGGCCTCGCCAGCCAAAGGTTTCGTCCCACTTTTCTGTAAGTGCACCGTGCTGTCTCCTTCTTGGGATTCAGGATACAACAAGGAAAATCCCCAGTAGAACAGGTCAGGTTGACAATTCGGGATTTCTTTGTTTCTTACGAGCAGATTTCTGTATTGGCTTAATCTTGATTTTCCTAATTCTGGATTTTCAGCGTGCTGGATTTGTTTCAGTGTGGGTGGTCTGGTCACAGAGGCCATGGTGGTCTCTTGATTTGCTTTTGTTTATTCCCCCAGATTCGTCGGTGAAGGCACCAATAGAAATGTGGGGCACCAACAGCACTGAGAAGTTTTACAGGATCCCCGAAGGAAAGGGACCACACTCAGTTGGATGTACAGACCTGATGACAGAAAATGCAGTTGAGGTAAAGCTCTCGACTGTTTGGATTTAAGCCACAATGTTAGTGAAACAAATGGCTGCAGTTTTAAAACAGAAGGTCTTGCCTGTGTGCTCTATGCTGACACTCACAGCTGAGCTTTCTATGCTCTCCATCCTGGTGTAGGATGTGTGCTGGGCATTTACCAGATGGATGTAACCTGCAAGCCTTTCCCATGGCCAATTCCTCCCTCTTCTAACGTCCTTGCCTTTCTGACTCTCCTACAAAAGATACTACAAAGAAACTGTGTCCTCCTGAGACCCACGGGGTTCTTCCCACCCACTCCACTGTTGCCTCCTGTGCTGGGCTCCTGAGGAGACTCCACACGCAGTCTCCGTGACTGTGGCTGCTCTCATCACCAAGATCACAACAGTATTTGGCAGGGTTGGGAGATGAGCCTATCTAGTGTTTCAGCTGCAGGGTAAGAGACGAGATGTCTATTGAGATTTTATCTCACTGGAGATGAACAGGATGTCAGTTTTGCAAGAGGTAAGCACAGTGAGAAGCCACAATAATAAGACAGGGGCGTTAACCAGACAAGTAGTGAGCTTCCTTGTGAGTTTCCATTTCCAATCCTCTTGCCTTTGAGAGAATACACCTGCATTTACACTGTGATTTTACTCCACAGAGTAGCAAGATGGAGTGGAACTTGAGATCAGTTTGTAATGGTTCATGTGCTTTCCTTTACTGAGCTTACTCTGTATCAGCACAGAGAAGTTATGAGTTTCTCTTTGCAGTCAGCCTATGTGTTTTTTTTACATAAGCATTATGAACAACTGCAGTTCTCTCAGGCATAAATAATGAACCTCTTCCCCTTTCTGGTAATCAGTTAGTCATTGGGGAGGTTCACTGGGACTGTTCTGAGATCAAGCTGATATCACTACCAATGTGGAGGAAAGTTCTTCCACAATGGTCTCTGTGTCAAAGGTTGATTTAAGTTCGATAAGTGAATAAAAACAAGCTTCATTAAACAAACTTTTGGTAAACTGATAAATTAATGTTCAAGAAATCAGGCTTTATTTCAAAGCTCATGTTTATTTTGGCCATGATTGTAACTTGCTAAACCAAAAGTACAGCTGGAGCAAGACAGTGAATTTTAATGGGGTGTTGCAAATTCCCTTGCAAGCCAGGAAATAAGAATGCAAACTGCACACAGTTCATCTTCTGGGAAGTCTGCTTTGTGCATTGGTACATTGCTGCTGTCTGTGAAGGAAAAAGACTGACAAGGGGGTATGGAAGGTCCCTGTGAGTGTGGAAAGCTTGGGAACTTTCCTGGGGTACCTGGAGTGCAGACAATAAGAGATTTGAACTAGTGGTAAGAAACAGAGGCAGATGAAACACAGGCTAACAAAGTTGTGTTTAGAAGGATGGACTACAAGACACTTCTGAACATCTTGATGAGGAGGAAGAGCAATGTATTGTTCTCCCTTGCTGTGCAGCTGCCCAAGGGCTTTGCTGACAGCCTCTGCTCAGTTTAGGCAGGAACACTACAGCCACGTTAGAGAGCCTTATTTTCTCCAGGCTGAATGGCCCCAGCTCTCTCAGCCTGTCATGCTTGGAGAGGTGCTCCGGCTCTCAGGTCATCTTCAGTCACTCCTTAACAGTCAGCCCTATAAAACTTACCAAAACACATCATCAAACCATTCCCTCTGAAGAAGATGGAAGAAAAGATCCAGCAAGATGCTGGATTGAGCAAAGAGGTAGTGAGTGTTTGTAATAATTAGCTTAATTAAATGAAGCATTTCTAATAAGCCTTAAGCTAACCTAGAGAAGGTGATGTGTATCTCCACCTGTGATGATGTCTATCTCATGTTACTTTAAATTCTTTGTAGGCACAGGAAGATTCTGACATAGGATTGGCATCAAAGCCTGTATATGATAATAATTTTTTCATGAGATTCTCATCATTCTCTTGAACTGCATTCTATAAATGTTTTTAGTCTTCCATTTCTCTGCCATATAGAAATAAATACCAATAAAATTTTTTATTTTACTTTTTCCTAATCCCAGGGAAGCTTTTTGCGCCTGTACTATCCAGCATATGATGCCACAGATATGGAAGAGGCACGATGGATTCCAGACAAAGAATACTATCAGGGACTCTCTGACTTCCTTAATATGTACCGAGTTGTAGGAGAAAGGCTCTTCCATTACTATGTTGGTAAGACTCCTTCTGGTTTTATTCCTTTATTCTTGTCACTGCCTCTATGCTCCATGAGTAGGATGTTACTGCTGCAGGGCTGAAGAAGAGTTTTTAGTAAAAAAGTGTGGTTTTGTGGGATGGGTTTGTGTAGTGAGAGTGCTGAATGTGACCCCAGCTCTCAGCAGTCCCTGACTGCTGTGGATAGAAGTGTGAAGTGTCTGGGCAGTTTGCTCTAGGTCAGCTGCACCTGTGTGTTGCGATTTAAATCCCACAAGCAAATGTGCAAATATACAAAAGTCAGAGAGATCCTAAGGTCTGAATATCAGCAAGACCTGGATGCCTGACTATGAAGATTTCAGAGATATGTAGACCTTGTGCCAGGCTGTGGATGGGAGAAGACAAGTATTTTCTGCCAAGTAGAATGTATTTTCAGAAGCAGATCCATTTTTGCTTTCTATTTTAAAGATGAGTCTTGGCACCTTATCTTTAGGTGATTGCTCTGATAATAGTGATCACTACATTCTTGGGATCTTTTACATAGGAACAAATGCTTTCTCTCATTCCAGTAATAATGATGTACACTTCCATTTTTATTTATAATGATGTACACTTCCATTTTTATTTAGGTTCAGTGACCTGTCCTGCAAAGTCAAATGCTGCTTTTAAGCCAGGAGAAAAATACCCACTTCTTGTTTTTTCCCATGGACTTGGAGCTTTTCGGTAATTTTGCAGTTTGTTGATAAACTGGTTTTGTTGTCTATGGAGACAGCAGTCTCCAAGGGTGGTTCTGAACAGATTTCAGTAGGGGGTGAGATCCTTGTGGAGCTGAAACAGATTTGAAGAACAGGCTGCTGTGTGTCATTATGCCCCCACCGAAACAACAGCAGGGCTGGTGTATGGTTGGTCACAGAATAATAGAACAGCCTGGGTTGGAAGGGGCCTTTAAAGATCATCACTGCTGTGGGCAGGGACAGCTTCCCCTAGAGCAGGTTGCTCAGAGCTCCATTTGTGTTTTACCTTTGTTATGATGGAGGAGAAGATATTTACCAGCCCATAAGGATGTTGTGAAAATTAGCTGGTTAGTTTTTGGACAGCTCTTTGAAGATGCAAAGTGCTGTGTGTGCTACTTATTAAAAATCAGTGGCATCTTCCTTTCTGAACTGACAGTAAAACAGTACCAAGGTTTTGTGAACAGGCTTTAGTGCCTGACATATGAAATCTTGCTCTGCTGGGTAGCAGATTCAAAGAGAACAAATATTGAGTGGAGACTAGTGCATACCTAGTGTGGTCAGCATTTAAAGAGCAATGGAATTGAAAGAATGACATCTCACCAGACTGTGGTTTTTATTTCAGGACAATCTATTCTGCTATTTGCATAGAGATGGCTTCTCAGGGCTTTATAGTGGCTGCTGTGGAGCACAGGTGAGTGTGCTGTGCATTTGGGAGTTCTGATGGAAAGCAACTTTCTCACATTGAACAGAATGTTATTTATTCTAAAAGAAGAGCTTCAGGATTTTTTTAAAAAAGAAAAACTAACATCTCTTTTTCAGTCCTGCCCACACTGCCCATAGCTCAACTCTTCTCCAAACAAAGGGACTTTTGTTTAGATAAGCCCAAGAATGAAAAGTCTTGGGGTAGATATCATTTGTGCTATCATAGATAGCATTTCAGATATGCTATTTTTTCACTCTTTTTGTTAGAATATAAAGTAGGTGAAGAATACAGAGGATGTGGGAGTTTTGGTGGGGTTATTGTATTATTTAGAAAGTCTGCGTACACTTGGGTTGCAATTGCAACAGCACTGGTTGATAGCTGAATCTCTTCAGATGACTGAAATTGGAAACTTTTGCTGACTGCATCTCAATCCAAATGGAATGCACTTTCAGAAATAACCTCCTCTTGTATTACAGAGATGAATCTGCTTCAGCCACATATTATTGTAAAAGAAGGTCTGTTTCTGAGTCACAGGAAGAGTCTCCACCTAACATGGAGAAGGAGTGGATCTACTACAGGAAACTGAAAACTGGCGAGGAGGAGCGTTGCTTGCGCCATAAGCAGGTGCCTGGGCTGGCTCTGTGCTCTGGGAAGCGTGGCAGGAGGGCTGTGTTTAGGGCTAGCAGAGTCTCCCTTTGCCCAGGGGAGCAGAGATATGAAAATTGATCCAGTCCTGTGTCCCTGAAGGTGGAACAGCCAACAATAGCTTTCTTCAGAGCACAAGTTGCTCCCTCGACAAAGCTTTTTCTTGAAGTTGCACTCTTGAGCTGAGTCATCCGTTTCTCTTCTGGTTCAAATCAACTTTCTGTTTCTTCTCTGTCTTTTATACTTTTGTTGCCCAGCCCAGCCTAAAAGTGACACAGAGTTGAGCTCAAGTGTTTGTGTGGCCTTAGGCTTGCATTAGCTTTCATTTACTGTTCCATGGAATGATGGATCATGGCTGCTCTGAGTGGGATGTTTGTTTTATAGTCCTTACCACACTTGAAGGTGTATTTTAGCAATGTAAACAGTGCAGACTTCCAATTTATTATAAGCAGTATCCAAGCTGGATGAAATGTGGCCATACTGACAAGCTCTTCCAAGCATACACTTGACCTTTAAAATATGTGAGTGGTTTTTCCAGCTAATGAAAACTTAGCCAGGGAGGTGCCTCTCTTTATCTCCCTGGGCCATACAGACAATAGTACAAGAGTCATTTCCTGGATAAATAAAATGTCCTACTATGAGTGTAATGTCTGAGCTTGGAAATAACCTTCAGAAGCTGTTGTCTGCAAATTTCACAAGTAGAGAAGTCGGGAGATTGGGATTTATTTGAAATTCAGTGATGCACAGACATCTTGTTGGCTGCCTAAACGCTGGTTCCCAAGATCACTACTATTCATTGGTTCTATTAATCCTTGGTTCTTCTTGAAGCTTTTCTTTTACTGACACACCAGTTAAAAACTGTTCTTATGGAACAATGAAAATCTTTTTTTGCAACAGCTTCACTACAGTTTTCAAGGATGAGTATATATAAAAAATGGGATGGGCTTCACTTTTTCTTCATTTGGTTTATCCAGTGTAAAGACAGTTTCAAGGCTATTGTGTGATGGGGCAGTGATAGAATGACATTTGCTTATCCAGCCTGAGAAGCATCAGTGAGTCAGCCTTCCTTGGAGTTTTACAACTTAAGCCTTTGTACATCCCAACAACTCCTTTTCTTAAGCAGTGACAGGATGAAGGAGTTGATGGCCTTTGGTGCATGTTACAGGGATAAATGCCTCTGTGTGCAGAGGTTCTACACAAGAGCTTCAGCTCTTTACACCACCAGAAACCAATTTTGTTGTTTGTCAGATGGCTCCATTCTGCAGTTCAGAATAGTGGGGGAAAGCTATCAGAGTAAGTCTTGTGTCCAAGAGGCTGTCAGGCCTGGCAGTTGTCTGATGATTCCTTCCACTGCTCTACCCCACCCTTTCTTTCTCCCCAGGTGCAGCAAAGAGCACAGGAGTGTATTAAAGCTCTCAATCTCATTCTTAAAATCAATTCAGGAGAGGAAGTAACAAATGTATTACATTCAGACTTTGACTGGAACAGCCTAAAAGTGAGTAGAAGGTGCCACCTTCATTTTGTTAAACATCTAATAATGCTTCTGATTTCCCCCTTCCATTTCTAAACTGGTTCATGTAAAGTATTCTGAAGATCAATGTGTAGATCTCTGAAAATATTCTCAGGTCATCCAAAGCTGGATAGAGAATAAGAGAGCTGAAATTATGCTCCTCCTACTTCAGTAGGGTCTAATGTCTAAAAAAATTATTTCCTTTAAAAACCTAAGTTTGGGAAAGAAAGTCTCTTACAGCACCTGGATTTTTTTGACAGGATTCTGTTGATACTAGCAGAATAGCTGTGATGGGACACTCTTTTGGTGGTGCTACAGTTATTGAAAGTCTCAGCAAAGAAATAAGATTTAGGTAAGTATGCGAAACAAGGCCAGAGACATTTGGCACTTGAGAGGTCTGGAGCAGGGCACTTTACCTACGACCCCCCAACTACTGACTGACTCCTGAAGAAGAGAGTTGTTTGGCATGTCTTGCTTTCTCCAGCCATGCTTTTTCCAGGTGTGGGGATATGGTGGAACATAACAGCTGCATCTTGTTATATCATGATACTGTGGGACCCTGCAGTCAGTGGAGACCAACCTATGGAAAGAATGGACTAATTCTCTTCCCCCAGAGTAGAGATAATTATGATACAAAGTGATTCATTTACCTGTTCAGTATCAGAAAGACTTTCTCTTTCCCATGTCTCTTGCAACTCAAAGCATGCTCAGAATTTCCAAGCTTTCTGCTTCTGTGCCAATATCCAGATGTGTTTGGCAGGTGTGGCATTGCCCTCGATGTATGGATGCTTCCTGTAGGTGATGACATTTACCAAAACAGCGTCCAGCAACCACTGCTTTTTATCAACTCTGAAAAATTCCAGTGGGCTGAGAACATCTTAAAGATTAAGAAGCTCATCTCCAATGACACAAACAAGAAGATGATCACTATCAAGTAAGTGCTCAGGAGCCATCGTTTCCATCTGTGGTTGAAGCTCTTGTTGGAGCTGTGCAGGTACTCTGTGGAGTTTCAGGTGACTGCAGACAGACAGACAGTCCCTTAAGCACAAGTCTGAGGAGGAAGAGGAGCTGTGGGAGCTGGGGATGTTTAGCCTGGAGAAAAGGAGGCTCAGGGGGACCTCCTCACTCACAACTCCCTAACAGGAAGGTGGAACCAGGTGGGGGGTCAGGCTCTTCTCCCAGGGGACAAGAAGAAATGTCCTGAAGTCATACCAGGGGCAGTTCAGATTGGATATTAGGAAATATTTCTTCATTTAAACTGTTGTTAGGCATTGGACCAGGCTGTTTAGGGAAGCTGGGGAGTCACCATCCCTGAAGGTGTTTAAAAGACATGTAGATGTGGCATTGAGGGACATGGTTTAGAGCTGGAATGGCAGTGCTGGGTTAATGGTTGAATTTAATATCCAGCCTAAATGATATTATGTCTGTCCTCATGGCCCAGGTTTTCACTGTATGTTTAAATTAACCATACATCCCCCACAGCAGGGACAGAGACCTCTCAAAGCAGCCAGGATCCCCACGTTTAAGACACTCCAAGGTGTGCATTCCTGCCCTGGGGCACAAGCTTTGTGCTGAGCCCTGTGCATCACCTGCATTTGAACAGCTGAAAGCCTTCTGGGGGCAGTTCTGCAGCCAGGGGAGGGATGGCTCTACCCTGCACCACTGAGCAGGGAGACAACTTGATTTTGATGCTTTGCCAAACCAGCTCTCTATTGCTGTTGCAGTTACAGTGACTTACAGCAAGCATGTACAAACCTTCCTCCCTTCTGTGGTTAGAGCAGAATTTCCTGCTGATCTTGCTTGTGAGATTAACCTGTTTTATCTTAAAGACAGCACAAGACATTTGACTGAAGTCTTGCATTTTTTAATCAGGCAATTTAATGTAGTCTTACAAAGCTGTTGATCATTTTTCTTTGCAGGGGATCAGTACATCAGAGTTTTCCTGATTTCACCTTTGTGAGCGGAGGAATCATTGCAAGATTTTTCAAATTAAAAGGAGAAATAGATCCAAATGAAGCTATTGATATCAGCAATCATGCTTCATTAGCCTTCCTACAGAAACATCTGAGTATGTATCTGTTTACAGCAAAGCAGGAAGTTGACTAATATTTCATTCCTGTGAAGCTTTTTATATAACCATTCAGTTTAAAACAAGATCAAAATAAGTGTGTCAGTGGAAAAAATAAGTCAGACTTCTTCTAGAGGTTTGTCAGTTACTTTTGTAATCTTGGCAACTCAGAGAAAATCACTGACATTTTGTTCTGGTACAAAAAATCTGGAGTATCATTTTTTCCCTCCTTAAAACATTTTTCCTTCCCTACTTTGCTGAACTGATTTCATTTTTCAGTGTAGTTTGACAAAAAGCTGGTCACTTAACTCATGACCACTTGGTTTTCTTTCCCCCACCCTACAGGTCTTAAGAAGGATTTCGATCAGTGGGATTCACTTGTGGATGGCATAGGACCCAATGTTATTCCTGGAACCAATATTGACACATCTCCAGCTGAACCTGAGTAAGGAATACAAAGGAGTATTGTATGCCATGGACATCAGGACACTAATATTGGTCAGACATTGCTGAGACATGTGGTGGCATTCAACACCAACAAAGCTTTTGGGGTACGGAACAAAAAAAAAGGCAAGGCACTAAGTTACATAATCATAAAAACAGAGGTTTCTGTTCAAATGAGTTAGTAGGATGCTCTGAAATACTGTAATAGGGTAACTTCTGCTTTGTAAGCAGCCTGGGGAAATCACTTGGTATCATTTAAATGCTCTTTCTGGTTTTGACTAGAATTAAGTTTGCAGAAAGACAGATTGAGCTCCAAGGAATTCAGCTACAGGTTTGTTTACCAAGCTTTATGTCAGTCTGCATCCAGCAAGCCTTTCCTGCAGGGTAGGGGAAAAGAAACAAAAAAAACCCCAAACCACCACTTTCCTGTTTAGATTCTAAGTATTTCAGCTGTGCTCTGACAACAGCTGGGAGTTAGAGATGCCTGTGGAGGGGGGTCTTTAAGACTGTGTCTTGTTAAAATAAGTCACAGTAAAAGCTACAGGAAGGATTTCAGCTGACAGCAGAGGAAGTCCAGACACAGGACTCCTCACAGGAGCTTAATCCACTTAAACCTAAGAGGTGTTTAGTGCCATACATAGAGGATGTTTATATCTCAGAAGCTTTTCCCTGGGTCACACTAGTAGCAACTGTAATTGCCCGTGGGCAAAGCTCCAGCAGCTCCTCCCTTGTCTGTTTCCACTATCACTCACACAGACTGCAGGGGAAATACACATGTGGCACCTCTCCAGCTCCCTTTACATGGTCCTTGTTAGCACTGCTTCAGCTCCTGAGGTCTGGCCAGGTAGTAATCACTCCCCAGACACTCAGCTTTCTCTACGTACTCACAGTGGTCTCTAGGTGACCCAGTTGGCTCCCACTGACATATACAGACAGTGGACAAAGATTGTCAGCCCCCACCTGGGTGGCCTTCTTTTAGGCTCTCCTTTTTGGATCAGAACTGCCTGAAGCTGCCCCATGGAAGGGTGTCTTCTAAATTCTGTTCATTTCAAAATCAGGTTATAAACAAAACCACTGAAGCAAACGGATTAAGAAATTAACAGTGTAATTAAGTATTTTACATAATCTGTGATCTTAAAATGAGATTGCAATAACACCTAAGATGTGTCTTTCAGAATTTAATTAAATTGTATTGTCTCTATTAAGCAAATAAACGTGTTTGTCTTACTGAGTCAGCACTAACACTTGAGATCTACTGTGAGATTCACTATCAGCCACCTTGGGTTTTTAAGTCCTTGTTTCAGCATGAAAAATCTACAGCTTCTGAAGAGGAGGGAGCAGCTATGCTATACATGGAACATGCAGCATGGAATACCATTATAAAACAGGACCCCCTTTTCAACAACTGAGAAGGAGAATAAAAGGTGAGATCTCCTTAAAACAGCAGCAGGTCCTTAAAACAGCTCAGCATGTTGCACACATGTGGCAGCAAAACTATTTCACTGGGTCTTCTTCATATTTATAGGAAAAGCTTCATCTTTCATTAGCACAACTGCCACAAGTTCAATTAATTAAGTACAATTAACAGTTCAAAACATTCAGCATAGCTCACACTGCTCTAGAGAGCTGGTTAGGGTCAAAACACAACCAGTGACTGCAGAACAGCCCTCACACAGCATTTGGGCTTCTGCACAGGAACAGACAAGTCATTAAAACACACAAACAAACCAGTATATGCCAGGCAAAGCTTTATTTCAGCTTCTTCCATTGCTTTAGAACAGCAGCAAATGCAAGACTTCAACCCAAAACAACTATGCTCCCCTATGGAGGAAAAAACCTCCCCACCCCTACCCCCCAAAAATACCCTCCTCAACTTTTTTTTTTGAGAAAAAACAAACACTTAACAATGCAACTTTTCCAAAAGCAAACATCAGAAAGCAGTGCTGTACAACACAATAGCATATACAGAAACTCACAAGAAACTTCTATTGAAGAACCACCCACCAAAAACTCCATAGAAGTCAGTGCACCCTCAGTCAAAAAAAAAAAAAAAAAGCCAGTCAAGAGGCAAATTCTTATTTAGGAAATTACAGCTATAAGAAACAAGCTAACAATAACAGTCTAGCAACAAGAGCTGTAAGAAAACAAGCTGAAAATAACAGTTTGCCAACACTATTCCTTTATAGGCAAGTTCAGCAGTGACAAGTATTTGGTCAGCTAGGTAGAAAAAATAAGCCACTCAATGCTCTGCTGGTATTTTTGTTCCCACAAACACATTTTCATGGGAACATTTCACACAGAGGCACTTATTCAGTTTCATGTGGTCAACGTGCCACTTGGTTTCAGCACTGCTGGAGGACATGAGCATCTTCAGCTAAATTGCTACTGCAGCCAGTTTGCTTTTCTATAAGGAATAAACACAGATTAGACCCATCAAGATGTTTCTATAAATGTGTATAAGGGCATAAAGATGAAAAGGGCTTCAGACTAAATACTACTGACATACTGGACCATGTTAAAAGACTACACTTATTATACAAAGATAAAACAGCTGAAACAGCAGAAGATGAAGCAGCAGTGCTCTCAGATTTCAGTTATGAGTTCAAGTTATTCCATCCCTCAGTGGGCTTGGCATAAACCACTGCAGGAGTTTTTGCACCCTGAGTTCCTCCTACTCAAGCTGCCTTTCCAGGCAGTGGCAGTGTGAGCAGCAGCTCCAGCTCTGTGACATGTGGGTGCATGACCCTGACTCACCTTTCCTGTGCTGGTGCTGAGAGTGCACACACTAACTCCATGCAAAGCGTTCAAGAACAGAAAAAAATCCACAAAATCAAGAATAATCCTGCATTTGAGGGATGCAATTTTGGGAGAGAGTTTGTAGATTGACTGTTTTAACATTTTATCAAATTCTTTAACTAACTTTTTCTTGCTCAACAGGCAACCCAATCTCTGTTGCAAGCTTCCTAATCTGTTACCCATAAAGCAGTAGTTATACTGAAATACAATCACCAATTAATACCTGAAAGCACAAACGCTATCCCCACTTCAACTCAGTTTAGTCTTCATCAGGCAACCACAGAAACAAACTGCCCAGACAGGTTTTGGAGTCTCCATTCTTGGACAGATTCCAGAACTGGCAGTAAGGTTTTTTTTTAACAACCTGATCTAAGTTGGCCCTGCTTTCACCACCAGGAAAGGCCCCTTTCAACCAGAACTGCTTTACAGTTCCATAATAGCATATAAACAAAAAGAGCCTGTACTATTTATTTGGTACACTTAAGAGGTGTTTACCAGTAACAGTTCAAAATTTTTAAGTAACAATAAAGATGTACTATTTACAAACTATCCTTACAACAACTAAAATGGTATTAGTATGGATTTAGATTTATACATTGTGGAACTGGGGCACCCAAATGGTAAACTAAATGCTTAATAGAGTCTGCCTAGCAGTTGCTCACATTGCCTCAGAAACATGACCAAGAACAGCATGCTGATGGCAACACTCAAAGCCCTGCCACAATCTATAACTTAGGTCAACCACCCCAGCTGTTCCAAGAGGCTCAACTCATTAGATGAACAAATAAATACTAAATTGGTTTGTAATCCAGACACAGTAGCAGCTTTCATTCCCTGTAGCCACCCTTTAACTGACATACATAAGGTAATGCCATCAAGAAAACCCCAGCAGTATCAACTGCATAAGCTCAAATTAGTGTTTCAAACGTATTTTCTAAAATAAAGCATTTCCTAGAAAATTAGAAACCATTCAAACACAGAGTACACAACCCATGTGGGGCCTTAAGGCAGACTTACCTTGAAGTAAGGACTCCTCTGGTAAGGACTGCAAGTTTTCTGTTGCAGGGGTTAATGCCTACACAAAAAGGGATCCTGTTAGGAAGCTGGCACTATTGCCATGACTTCCATTGAGGTGCTTCCTTTAATACTAGACTAACTTCTTACTGGACTCCTATTTACTATTGTTTTCCTCCCTTATAACTCACTACATTAGTCTTCTGCCCACTTTTCACTTGGATACAAAGGCTGCATGTGAAGAACAAACTGGAAATTCATGCTGTTATCACCAGCAACATGGCTCATGACCTGAACTCTGGATGAGTGGACAAGTTTTTCATCCACTGGTAGGTCCTTCATGAAGAACACTGGTGAAAACCTTACTATTCCTTCCAAATTACTCCACAATAGAAGTATTATCATGACTTAGCAATTAGCCAGCAGCCTCTCTAAAAAACCTGCCCTGTCCTGCCCAGCCCAGTACCACACTGCCGTACCTCAGATGATCTGCGAGCCCCGTCAGGAATCCCGTTCCAGACGTTCTCAGGATGCACAATCTCCTCATCGCCACTGCAGAGGTTCAAAACCTGTACAGACAGAGCCAAAGGAGACCTAGCACAGCAATACACTTACAAGCAAGACACAGCAGTAGGAAAACACAGTTGAGGACTCTGTCTGTGCCTCAGGGAAGGTGTTGAGAAGTCTGGATCTTGTAAAGAAGAACAAGCTGATCTCCAATAAAACTGAATGTAGGGACTGAGGCTGCTCAAGGCTCTTCTGGGCTCCTAACCCAAGCATGGTGAGAAAAGGGCTGCAAAACAGCTACTAGATCAGAACCAGAAGGAAGCTGGTGAATAGGGATATCATTACAGGATAATCCCTGACACTGCCTCTCACCTGAATGCACCTGAGCTTAGTTTTAGACACCCAAGGGATCTACCAGCACTAGAGCTGGCTTGCACAATCTCAGACATTTAATCTTTCAAAAGGATGCTTTTATGTAATGTCCTTTTGGATTTGCAACACACATTTCACTGAAGCAGTAATAGTTGTGGATTCATTATTACTTGCAGTATAGTTTGCGTTTCTTCCCAAGTTCCTACTGATCTAGCACTAACTCCTCAAAATACCAATAAAATAATGGCAAGTTTAATGAGCATGTAATGGTAACACAGCTCCACTGCAGAACACTACCTTAAGGCCAGACAGAATCACACACGTGTGCCTCAAACTGGAGTGAGATCCTTCAGTATTCCCAGTCAATACAAGAGAATAAGATGTGAAAGAAACATCAAGTGTTGACATTTATCACCAACTCTATTTGAGACACCAGTGTTTCTCTCTAGTCTATAAATTCAGAATCAGCCCTTGAAATACTTAAATTCTGTAACAAAATTTTTGAAAAATATTTACTTAAGAGTTTAGAGAAGGACTAAAGAAGGATGAGATCTTAAGACTGCAGAAGCAGTATTCAAACCACACTTACCTTGGTACCCTTTTCAGATACCTCCAAAATGCGAGCATCACACCATTTGAGAGAAGTCCACACCACACATTTGGAACCAACAGCAAAGCCCTTCAGATTACAAGGATAGTCATGGTGTGCTACAAGAAATGGTAAGTTAGCAATGGAGGAGGAAGGAAAAAAAAAACCAAACTCACAAAACCCCACAAAAATCAACCCTATAAAAACCCCTCAAAAATCAACTCTCAGATACCTCAAACACTGCTGCCCCACTCCCTCCAAACTACTTGATATTTGAAAGTTAAAGATTTGTCATCCCAAACAAATCTGGCAAATGCACTTCATGTTCAGAATGGATTTCCACTCAAAATCCTTAATCTTCCCCAGTAAGACTAGTTGCTGAGACTGTCACATTACCCATGAGAAACTGAACTCAGTCTGCTGTCCTTAACTCATCAAAGCATGAACACTAACAAAATAACTTATTAGGGAATAAAAGTTGGGGTTTTTTACAAGAAAGCTATTCTCATTTTTGAATGGCACAACATTTTGATTATTTAACCCTTTAAAATCAGATACTTTACCTGCACTGCAGTCAGCCAAGTTCTCATTTTGCTTTTTGTCTTCCCCAGGCTTACAGCCTAAAGACTGAACACACATATTTTCACTCTCT